GCTTGCTTTTGCTATTTCTCAGGTCTATTTATTTAGGACAGCTATTTCGTCTCTTCATTTTTGTGTATTATCTATATTTCACATTTGGAGGTTTATCTTTATTTAAGTTGGGTTCAGGATTTAAATGAAAGTTTAAATTATTCTTGATAAAATCGAAATTTCATACCACCGAAGAATGATCCGTAAACATTTTTTCTTCCTTACTTGCTGGCTGTTGCTATTTATCTTATTTCTCTCAAAATTCATATTGTTCATTTCCTGGGATTTCTCTACATTCTCTATACATTATTAACATAATTAGCCTTTTTCTCGTCATCCCTTGATCAGGTAAACCCACGTGACGCCAAGGCATGTGTGATCCATGGCACTGATCTGCGTGAAATGACGCCTGCTCAGATTGATGAGGTGCTTCGCAATCACACTGAAATTGTATTCGCCAGAACCAGTCCCCAACAGAAGCTGATAATTGTCGAAGGTTGTCAACGCCAAGGGGCCATAGTCGCTGTCACGGGAGATGGTGTTAATGACAGTCCAGCTTTGAAAAAAGCAGATATAGGTTAGATCCCACGGATTTTTTTATATGCTGTCTAGAAAATGGCGCTTTACCTATAACTTGTTTGTTATATATATATATATGTATTAGTATGACGCCTTAGATGTTTATGCAAATCTGTTTGATACTCCCATTAAGGAAGCCCAGCTCTGTTCAGCTTTTGCAATCAGACCATATTTACATAATCTCCCAAGTTGCCCATCACACTATTCTAAATTCGCGTCTTCTCTAGCCTCAAATTTCAATGATTCCTTATCATTCTTACTTTGATCTAAATCGTTCTGCAATGCCCTATCATCTGCACTTTTTCATACAATTTGTTAAACATATTTTCGCTACTTTATTCTATTTAGCCACACAGCGTATTTTATAATGCTCTAGCTTAAAAAGGACTTGATTTCATGACCATGTGCATATTTCTTGTCCGGACTCATATTTACTGGGTGTTTAATTTACCCTTAGCAGATCTTTTATTAATTTTGCTTAGTTTTTTCCACTTTATGCATCCTGTGTATCGATTTTCTGAAGAGCTATCATGAAAATTTCATTAGGAATTCTTTATTACTCAACTCATATATTTTTATTTCCATAAAAACAGCTGAATTGTCTAAGTACAATTGGCTAGGAGACTCGCCTCCGTAAATTCCTGTTTTCTGGCGATCTAGACTGGTTCTTTTTATTATAAGCGGTCTGTTTGCTTGTAGACGATCTACTGATTGACTTTCTTTTTTTCGTTTGCCTGCTGCTTTACTCAAATTTCCATCCATTTTGTCCATATACCCCACTAGCTGACGAACTCTCTATCTTCGCTAGCTATCTGTCCTACCTTCTTAACCAGCTCACCTTATAATACGTATCTTTATGGGCTAGGTCTCTTTATTTTACATTATTTTGTCCTAATGTATTGTACCTTTTTGCCTTCATTTACTATAGTATTGATTGTTAGTTCATTTGTTTATCTAGTAAGAGAGCTCAACCATGGCTACAAAAATTGTATGCACTTTTGCCTTGTCTTTTTAGCTCCTGTCATCAGATTATACGTACATATTCACCTAAATTACCAGGCTCACACTGGTGCAAATTTTGCGTATTTTTTGGCCATTCACTTTAGAGGTTTTTTCCTGCTAGCCTCGCCTTGATATTCATTGAAAGCTGGGGATTGGAAGGGAAATTACTTAAAATGTAGATCTATGCAATAAAATTATTTTTACCTTTTTTATTAAGAATTCTGTATGTTTCATGCTTTTTACCCTCACATAATACCATAGTATGCTCATCAGTTCCTTTAAGTAAAAGGCAACAAATTCGTTATCTTGTTTTACCGTATTTTTTTGAAGCAACCAATGTGATGGGTTTATTTTTGTAAAGTCTGCGTTCTACGAGCTCTGCTTGCAGAACGCTTTTCGGCATGTGTACATGTTTCTTTTAGAGTTTCTTC